TGGAAGGCTGAGGTAGAAGGATCGCTGGAGCCCGGCAGGTCGAGGCTGCGGTGGCCGGGAGTGGCCACTGCACTCCAGTCTGGGTGAAAGAGCGAGACTCCAACTCAAAAAAAAAAAAAAAAAGCCAGGTTGGATGTGGTGGCTCACACCTGCAATCCCAGCACTTTGGGAGAATCGCTTGAGCCTAGGAGCCCCAGATCAGCCTGGACAACATAGCGAGACCTTGTCTCTACAAATAGTCAGCAAACTAGCCGGCACGGTGGGGCAGGCCTATAGTCCCACCGACTCAGGAGGCTGAGGCAGAATTGCCTGAGCCCAGGAGGTCGAAGCTGCAGTGATCTATGATGGTGCCACTGCAGCCTGGGCAACAGAGTGAGACTTAACTAAAAAAAAAAAAATCTCTGCCTTTTCTGCCATTTCTTTAATTCACAAACTCTCTGAAACTCACGGACACACTTTAGTATTTCTTAAAAGATAAAAAGTTTGAATTCCCAGTGATCTGTGCAATATTTTTAAGAGAGCCTAGAAGATTAACCACCTTGTCTAGAAAATACCAGCACTTGTATGTTCTCCTGGATTCTGAAATTCCTCCTTTACGATGCAAAATCATGTAAAAGATTTAATTTCCACATGTAGCCACCTGTAGCCACCATTCACATCCTAGTATGAATTAGTTCAATCACATTGCTGTGTAGCTCAGTTCTTTAAAGCGTGGGCTCTGGAGTCGTACTGCCTGGTTTCAAATCCCAGCTATGTGAATCTGAGTATATTTCTTAATTTCTCTAAGCTTCTGTTTCTTTCTTTCGCTCTCTCCCCCTCCTTCCCTCTCTACCTTTCTCCCTTCCTCTCTCTCCCTCCCTTCTAATACAGATGAGGTCTCACTATGCTGCCCAGGCTAGTCTCAAACTCCTGGCCTCAAGCCATCCTCCTGCCTCGGCCTCCCAGTGTAGTGCTGGGATTACAGGTGTGAGCCACCATGCCAGGCTAGCTTCACTTTTATTTGTAAAAAGGGGGACGTAAACCGGGCTTGGTGGCTCAGCCTGTAATCCCACGCCTTTGAGAGGCTGAGGTGAGTGGATTGCCTGAGCCCGCGGGTTCGAGACCCACCTGGGCAGCGAGACCTCATCTCTACAATAAATCAAAAATCAGCCGGGCATGGTAGCACGTGCCTGTAATTTCGGCTACTTGGAAGGCTGAGGCGGAAGGATCGCCGGAGCCCAGCAGGTCGAGGCTGCGGTGGCCGGGAGCGGCCACTGCACTCCAGTCTGGGCGACCGAGTGAGACTCCAACTTAAAAAAAAAAAGTGGAGGGAAGTAATAGTATTTTCCACAGGGTTATTGTAAGGATACGGTTAATTTATTTGCAAAGCCTTTAACACAGTGTCTGGCACAGAACAGCACCCGATACATTAATTTTTTTTTTAAGTTTTGCTGAACAATCAATTTTGTTTGGCATCTTAGTCTGTTTGGGCTGATATAACAAAATACCAAAAGCTGGGCGGCTTATAAACCACAGGAGAGTTATTTCTCACAGTTCTGGAGGCTGGGAAGGGCGAGATAAAGACACAAGACACGGTGTCTGGAGAGGGTTGCAGATGGCGCCTTCTCTGTGTCCTCCCTTGGAACCCTTTTTATAAGGGTGTTAATCCCAGGTGTGAGGGCTCCACCCTCATGGCCTAAGCCTCCCCGAAGGCCCCAGCACCTAACACCACCCCCGCAGGGGTTAGGGTTTTATTTTTTATTTTATTTTATTTTTTGAGTAGGAGTCTCACTCTTGTCGCCAGGCTGGAGTGCAGCGACACGCTCACGGCCACCGCAGCCTCCAGCGGCTGGATTTAGGCGATCCTTCCGCTTCAGTCTTCCAAGTACCTGAAACTACAGACGCACACCACCACGTCCAGCTAGTTTTTGTGATTGATTGTAGAGACAAGGTCTCACCAAGTTGCCCAGGCTGATCTCGAACCCCCAGGCTCAGGCAATCCTCTCGCCTCGGCCTCCCAAAGGGCTGGGATGACAGGCGGAGCCACGGCGCCCAGCCAGGGGTTAGGGTTTTAACATCCGCATTCAGGGGGCCCTTCAGACGGCTGCCATTGGAAGGGGTTTTTCGGAGCACAGGACACTTTCTGGCAAGCAGCAATGGGGGGCGAGCAGGGGTTGGGGGCACAGGGTGAGGAAGAGGCAGCCCCAAGGGCATGGAGGTCTCCCCGGAGGCAGCGGCACCGCTCAGCCCAGGGTGAGGCCCATCCTCACCAAGTACTCGTTCAGGCTTGACCTGTGGGAGCCGGCCTTCTGTTCTTCCAAGGTCAACCTTGACCCTTCCTGGCTAGGCTCATGGCCTCTTCTTCATAGTTGACCTTTCTTTTTTTGAGTTGGAGTCTCAGGCTGGAGGGCAGTGGCACGCTCCCGGCCACCGCAGCCTCGACCTGCTGGGCTCCAGAGATCCTTCCGCCTCAGCCTTCCGAGTAGCCGGAATTACGGGCATGTGCTACCACACCCGGGGGGATTTTTTGATTTACTGTAGAGATGAGGTCTCATCAAGTTGCCCAAGTGGGTCTCGAACCCGCGGGCTCAGGCAATCCACTCACCTCAGCCTCCCAAAGGCGCGGGATTACAGGCTGAGCCACCGAGCCCGGCTTGCCCACTCTTACAGAGATGTCAAAAGAAGGGTTTGTCTACTGCCTCTCGGGCACCTGGATTCCAACTCTTAGAATGTCCTCCCTTCTGCTCTCAACCAGGTGAGTATCTGTCCTTCCTCAAACTTCAGGTGAAATACACTGTGTTGGGGCTGGGTGCAGTACACTCTGGGAGGCCGAGGCGGGAGGACTGTCTGGGCCCAGGGTTTCAAGACCAGCCCGGGCAACTTGGCGAGACCTCATCTCGACACAAAAATAAAATTAGCCAGACATGGTGGCACACACCTACAGTCTTAGTTACTCGGGAGGCTGAAGTGGAAGGATCGCCTGAGCCAGGAGGTCAAAGCTCTGCACTCCAGCCTGGGCGATAGAGTGAGAACCCCGTCTCAAAATAAAAAGGAACACACTGTCCTCCGAACACACTGTCCCCACCTCTCCTGGTGGAGTCGGTTCCACCCTTCATCCCATCACACGTGGCTCTTTCTAGCTGTCACGCAATCAGTCTCGCATCTGCTCACTCACCCGCAGGTCTTGCCCCATCCCAGACAGGCCTCAGAATCAGGGGGTTTGCCCTTTTTCTCCTCTGTCCAGGGAAGGGGCATGGTAAATGCGGAGTGAGGAGGTTTGGGGGACCTGGCGTCCTGCACATGCCTTGACACTTGGCCAAGTTACTGCACAACTCTCAAGAGAGAGCGCCCAGAGTGCTGATGGGGCACCCCTCCCTACCTCAACCAACTCAGGGACACACTGGGCATCAGGCCTCCTCTACCCATCTGTGCTGGACCAAGCAATGGCTGGGCTGGGCAGGCAGCCTTCCAGTTTCTCCAAACAGCTACGGCAAATTTTCTTCGAGCCTCGTGGGCCCAAGTGCGACTTCCTCCTGGCTGTGAATTGTACCATTTGGAGCTGGTGTTGGTTTATGGTAGTAAGCAGGCGAAAAAGGAAGGGTTAATTGTACCCTGTTTGGGGTGGTGCACTCTGGACAAGCATTAATTAAGTTCTTGATGGATGCTCTAAGGCTGGGTGCGGTGGCTCATGCCTGCAATCCTGGCATTTTGGGAGGCTGAGGCAGGA